TTTTTTTGGTTCAGTTAATCAGTGTGTTTGTGACAGTGGACACTGACATCACCCACCATAACTGTGTTAATGTCTATGTGATCTTTAATGTTCAGTAGTGTTTGTTTTATGAAGTGAGGTGCACCAGTGTTCAGTGCATATGTAGTTATAATTGTTATCTCATCCTGTTGCTGACTTATTCTTGTATGCATATGTCATTATGAAGTGGAGGTGAGGAGAAGCGCAATTCAACTCCACTATTTTCTGATCTCTGGGAACCTACAGGAGAGAAGAAGAAGGCTTTTGGACAGGACAGAAACCACATTCAATCTAGTTACTTCTAGTCATTGGCATCTCAGGAAAGTAAAGATTACTTTCCAATGATATTATTACTATCCCCTATTAGGCAGCCACTAAATCTTAGGAATATTACTAAGTGATAGGCAAACATTAGCTCACTAGATTCTCCCTACGAATCACTTCACCAGATGTGGTAACTTTTACTTTACTGTTGGCTTACATAGCTAGTTAGGGATAAAAATTGGATTTGAACACAGGCTGGTTTTACTTAAAATACATCATGTTATTACCACTACAAAAAGTGTGACTTTTTATTTATTTTACAGTCTGTGTGACTCTGGATCCAAACACAGCTCATCCTGCCCTAACTCTGTCTAATGATCGCAGACAGGTGTCTAATGGATGCTGCCAACAGAATCTCACAGTTTCTTCCAGGAGATTTACAGTCTTTCCCTGTGTCCTGGGCAGTGAGGGCTTCACCTCAGGAAGACACTACTTCGAAGTGGATGTTGGAGAAGGAACAGCTTGGGATGTGGGAGTCTGTATGGAAAATGTAGAGCGGGGCCTTGGCATGAAGCAGGAGCCTGAGCTTGGGTTCTGGGCCATCCGGCTGTGCCCAGAGAATGGCTATGCAGCACTGACCTCTCCCGCAACTACCCTTGAGCTGCAGGAGCGACCCCTGGTGGTGGGGATTGTTCTGGACTATGAGGCCGGAACTGTGTCCTTTTACAACATGACCACTGGCTCCCACATCTTCACCTTCCCCAAGGCTTCTTTCTCTGATATTCTGCGGCCTTATTTTCAAGTTTGCCAACATTCTCCTTTGTTCCTGCCTCTCTGTAATGATTGAAGAAAAGAATAAAGTCTCCTTGGGTTAAACAGCACTGAACATGTGTAAAGCCTGTAAGGGCACAAATTGCTAAGTTTTATTTCCTGCTCTTCCTTCAGATATAGTGCATACCCACTCTCACCACTGCTGTTCACATAGATTTGAAACTTTGGGAGAACAATCAGGCAAGAGAAAAGAAGTGGAAAGACATGTACAGGAAAGAAAGAAGTCAAAATAATCCTTATTCACAATGATATGGTTCTTTATATCTAAGATCTGAAGAATTCTACCAAAAGATGATTTGTGAATGTGAAAGATTACTGTTTATTTTAGGCCAGAAATAAGAGGTAAAGGAAAGGAAATAAAAAAAGAAGTGCTCAAGGAGAAAAGTGTGGTTTGAAGTAAAAACAGAAAATAACTGCTGCAAGCAGTCCACTGTAAGAGCGAGAGGGCAGTAGCCCAAAGTCAATTGCTGCCATGTTTTTTATGTCTTCTTTGATAGTTGGTCCAGGTGGTCCCACTTGATCTCAGGGAGAAAGTTGACATCAAGTGACAGATTTGGTACTTTTTTGTGTCAGAGGATTGATATCAGGTTTCAGGTTCGGTGTGTTCTTGTGTCAGAGGTTTGGTACTGGATGTAGAGGTTGGCTTGATCTTGTGTCAAGCCTGGGAGTTGTTGCCCTGCACCGTGGTTAACAGTTCTCTTCAGTTGACTGGTGGTACCCTGTTGCTCCAGCCATGTTGCCAAAATGAGATTTTCTCATTCAAATGCTAACAGAAACTGCTGACTGGAATAGAAAATACAGCATTTTTAAGATCCCTGACTGAAAACCATTTTGTGTCTTCTGGAATCTGGGAAAGAATTGTATATGGATCTACTGCCATGCAGAGGATTGGAATTACAGTCTCATTAATGAGATGAAAATCTGTACCATCCTATATTCTGAAGTTTTTACTAAGGAGAAATGGGGATATTGCTGAAAGCCATATTTGAGAAAACTGTCTAGAAGAGGTTGGAGGCCTTTATGGACCTCTTCTTTGATTGGATACAGTTTTCAGTTAAGAAATTGGTTGGGGTCTTTTAGTTTTCAACTACTGACTTTGCTGAATTCGCACAATCAGGTACTGTATTCCACCAAACAGCAGGATTCATCTGTGGACTGATCAGGTGAAGGAGACTTGATGCAGTCCCAACAGGTAAAATCTGCTTTCGCCTTTGCTGGATTGTAAGAATTGTCCCCAACTTTGCAAGTAACTATTTGTAGTAAAAGGATAGAAAATTGTGGGTAAATATTTGCCTTTCAAATTGACATGACAAAGCAGGAGTGAAGAAGCTCTGTGTAGGGATCCTCTAAACTCCCATGATAGCTACAGATATGGAGGAAGACTTTATAGAGCAGGTTAGAAGAGAATGAGCTGCTCCTGTATCTACCAGTAATTGAACTGACCCAACCATGATGTCCAAGGTCATCTGGGACTTCTTACAGGAGATGATGATGTCCATAGACAGGGGAATTGTAAGCTGTCCTCAGCCCCTTCAGTCTTTGTCAGAGAAAATGAGAGTTGTAGCTGGCCTACCCCACTCTGGGAGTGGGGCCACTCTATCATCTAGTGCCACGAGTTAGGCACATTGGCCACCTGAAAACACCTAACTGTAACTAGGAGATGACCTAGTGCGGTGGCACCCCGGTGTCCACAGTCTTTTTACACTTAAAGCAGGAACTGTTTCCTGGGTTTTCCATGTTTTCCTTTAAAGCACTTGGGAGCCACTGAAAGCATTTCTAATTTTGACAGCTAGACTTTTGGTCTTTTTTCTCAATCTCATCTGGATCCTGATTGTTGGACACAGAAATGGCCCTGTCCAGCCATTGGTCCAGAGGTGTCTGGGACTCCACTGGAAGTTTTTGTAATTTGTGCCAAGTATCTGGGGCTGATTACCAAATGAAATGATGTCCAATCAGTACCTGTTCCTCCCTGGAAGATGGATCTAAGTTTTTATATTTATGAAAAGCGGGGCTGGGGATTTAGCTCAGAGGCAAAGCGCCTGCCTGGCAAGCCCAAGGTCATGAGTTCAGTTCCCGGTACCGGAGGAAACCAAAAAAAAAAAAAAAAAAAAGAACTTATATTTATGAAAAGCTTCTTCTAAGTGGCTAATGGTAGACAGTTCAAGAGCTTACTTTGTCCTGTTCTAGTACATTCATTTTATCATAATTAGCAGATTTCTTAGTGAATTTCTCATTCCCATGATAAGAGCTAGTGTCATTATTCTTTGTCCATTACTATTATTATAGTCCCAGTTTGGTACTGTCAGAGGAATAACAACATTCTGGGGTGATTTTCTTCCCTTCTTATACTATATTGTTCACCTGCATAGTTCCTAGCCTCTTCTAGAATTCTGTTTTTTAATTGGGATGTAGCAAGTGATCAGGGTGAGTTGGAAATATCGCCATGATAGGGCAAAACAAGGCTCAAAGTTTGAAACCATCTGTAAACCCTACTAGTACATTCTGAAAATCAGCCTAGCCCTTATTGGATATCTGCCATTGAAAAAAGGGTCTGGATTCAAGTGATTCCTTTGCCCCTGTGACCTCTCTCAGGGGGAGGATGAGGTGTGAGCTAGAAGAGTAAGAAGCTCCACTCTGAGTATATCCTACAGGACTTAAAGTCATCTGAGGAGCGTGATGAGCAGCTGGGGAATACTGGATCACTCTGGGACACCAGGTTCTGATGGACCTCTTGAGTCACTTCAAGGGAAGGAGACTGTTTCACTGGCCTGAGCATTATAAGGAGGAGGTCCAGGGGACACTCCAGTGTGGTTACTTTCATCACTGGGGGGAGAGACCCATATCCCTCTGAGAAACAGGTACGGATCCAATGACAAGTTCATCAATAATACCAATTTCCTTCTCCTTGGGAGCCACTGTAATTACCAGAGTGGGCTTTTTCCAGTGATAAAGAGTTACAAAAGTCTGAACAGAAGAAATTTTACTTCATTTTCCACCCTTTTTGCAGAAATGGTCTAACTCTAAGATAGTGTTGTCATTTAAACTGCCATCCTTTAATCATCTCTTGCCATTCCATAGATAGTACCGGGCCCAAACTGCATTATAATAGTAGATAAGTTGTTCCTTTTTCAGGTTGTTGGGGCCAAATTGTACCCACTATTGAAAGACATGGCCAAATGTTGAGATTGGTGGGATCCGCAGGGCATTTCTCGGGGTGTTTCCCATGGCATGTGTTGAAGCCTATGGAGAGAGGGAACTAGGGCTGGACTCTCCTTCAGAGGGTGTCCCTAGCAGAAGGAGGCAGAGCTGTGAATTCACAAAGTGCCCCCTGTGATACAGACATTCCTTGGCTAACAAATTACTTGTTTAACGACTATTTGGACTTATAGCCAAGAGAGACATCAGGAAGCAGGAGGCCTCCAGACGGCCAGCTCACAGCTCTCATTTTGCAAAGCAAGGAGGTTCAGTGTATCCTGGCAGGGGCTGTGGGAGCAGACCCCCCAGACCACAGGACATATGGGCTCCTGAAGCCTCCAGCACACAATGAGCAATAATGAGCCCAGAATATCTCTTCACAGGTAACACCTCACTCTTTGCTGTGGGTGTTTCTTTGAACTCAGGCTCGGTTCACCAAAATTTATGCTGTCAAAAATGAAGAAAATAAGAAAAACCCAAACTTCCAGCAAGGACAAAACTTCTATAACCAGACAGTGTCTGTCTTGTGATAGCTGTAAACTACCCCACCCACTTCCTGTTGCTTGAAGGAGGAGTTTGTTCATGCAGGAAGGTGTAGGGCTTAGAAAAGAAAAGAGGATCAGATGAGCCTCAGGTCTGTCTCCAAGCTAGTCCTATGGAGCACCAACAAGAATTTGGTCAACAGCAGGAAATCACATATCAAAGGAGCTCAGTGAATCTGCTCTCCATAAACTCTGTGCCTAGACACACTATAATCAAATGATGAAAAGACAAAGACAAAGAACCTTGTAAGCAGAAGGAAGCAACTCCTCACACACAAGTGACCTTTAATATGATTAACAAATGACCTCTTATCAGAAACCATGGAGGTCAGTAGGCTGTGAATGACATGCTCAAAATGTCAGAAGAAAAAGACAGGGGCTGGGGATTTTGCTCAGGGGCAAAGGGCCTCCCCGGCAAGCACAAGGTCATGAGTTCAATTCCTGGTACCAGAAGAAAAAAAAAGAAGAAAAAGACAGTCTACTAAGAATTATGCCTCAAAATACTCCTTTGAAAAGAAAAGAGAAATTAAGATATTCTCTGATAAAAATGAGTGCGTCACTGGAAGATCTGTTCTATGAGAAATATTTACAAAATGTTCCAGGTGGATATAGAACAGCACTAGAAAAGAATCTGCATCTACATGATAAAAGAAGGGTACCTAGAAAATGGTTCTGCCTAGGCAAATCTCATGGACAATATAAATGCATTATTTAGAATTTCCTTCTTGCCATTTGCTTTAAAAGACCCCTAAATCGCTTTAGCAATTTTAGGTTTGTTGGTAGGCATAAAATGTACAAAGGTATAATTGATATGACAATAACAAATAGAAGGGAAAGGAAAAAGAATTACTCTCCAGCAAAATTTAGATATTATTGAGTTTGTTGATATCAATCCAAACCAGATTATCACTTAAATTTCTCCATGCAACCAGTTAAAAAAGAATTCAGAAAGAATATTCAAAGAAGTAAGACAAGAATTATAATAGAATGTAATAAAATATTTACTTAACAAAAAATAAAGCAATAGTGTAAAAAATAATACCATAAATTACCTGCAACATATATACACATGTGTATGCCAAGATAGCAGATGTAAATCCTAGTTCATTAGCAATATATTGAAAGGAAATGAATTTTAAAGGGGATATTAAATGAACAGATAAAATGAAATCATGTATCTGTACATTGTCTACAGCAGACCTGTGATTAGCAAAAGTAGCATCTAGTGAATGTAGATTTGACTATAAAATGCAACTTGTTTTTAACCATTAGAGTAAGGATAATTTATGAGCATTGCTTGTTGATATTGTCTA